TAGTTCTAAAGAATTCCAAAACTTTAGGGTTCTAAGAAGTATCCCTTAAATAAGAACATACCTACGTATTCTTTTTTTTAAATTGCACCGCACAACCACGTGATTATTACTTGCATACAAAACTGAAACAGCAAAAATTATATTGTTCTAACAGATCAAAATTCTCTTCTCTCATTGGTTATATTGTTCTAACAGATCAAAATTCTCTTCTCTCATTGGTTGGTCTGTTAGGATATTATAATTTTAAACCGTTTTTAAATAAGTGCGATAGAACAATTTAATAATGCTTTTTTTTTAGTTTGTGTATTAAATTAAACAGGCATTTTTATATACATAGAACAGAAATTTTATGTACTATTTTTCTATCAAAAAAGCCGATTTCGCGCCAAAAGTGCTGTTAGAACATTATAATACTCAACCCACGATCTGTACCGCCCATGGTTCACTAGATATGAGCTATTTTATAAACCACACTTTTCAAAATGACACTACTACGCAGTAAAAAAAAATCAACTCTAAACAACACTAATTACACTCTTAGAAAAGACCTGGTATTTGTAACTAACTTATTATCGTTGGGGTAAAACTGTTGCAGAAACTAAAATTTTTTGTTTTTTGTAATCAGTTCCTTTATATATGTAACTGCTTGCATCATTACCTGAAAAGATTTAGTTTTGTTGTTGAGTATTATTTACTGCAAAAAGGCGATTAAGTTATTTTAACTGAAACTTTGTGTTGGCTAGAAATATTGACAACATTATCTCAAAAAAATCATTTCGGCGGTAAAATGTTTTTGTTGGACCAAATATTTAAGTAACATTCTCAACTGACCGAAATTAGTCCGTGGAACTAACGGTTCGGTTGTATAAACTATGCGTCACCTTTCACACAGCTAAGACACCAGCGGTGTGAAACAAAGTGTCAGTTGGGGATGTTGTCTCTGTAGGTTAATGCAACTGCAAACTTTGTGCATTTCGCGCGCGATTTGTCCAGCCCGGCGCGTGCTTTACTTTTAACCTGTAAACAAACGGTGTTGCACGGCGTCCAGACTTCGGTGGTGTTTGTTCTTTTGTATTTGTGTATCAACTCGTGTATAGTGTATATTTTAGGTAAGAAACTAGATTATTACAATTTGTCATTTGCCCCTGTAAATTCAGTGGCGACATACTTTTTAACTATTCATATAGGTATATAAGAATATATTCTTATGTGTTGGTTACTTATAGATATCTCGAACAAATAATATGGATGAGCGGACTGTTGTAGCAGATTTATTAGGAACATGGGGTTTACCTGAATTGGTTCCAGTTTTTAAAGGTTAGGTATTATTATTGCACTCCTTTAATTACACTATTGTAGTTTTGGGGCCCGAAAAAAAATACATAAATGTGAAAATGCCATTCCGACAAAATGGCCTCCTGAATCCAATGGTGCCCACCAAAAGTCTCCATCACGTCGGAATTTCGAGAATTTTTTTGTTTTGTTACAGCTCAAGTCGCATTTTTGATATAGGGCCTATACTAGAGGCACTCACACTCAAAATTTATCGAATGCTTACCCCTGTTATCATGCAAATATGTTATGTTGTACCTAAGAATCATTGTTAAGTTGTTAAACATCACGGTTTACTGAAGAAATATAGTCAACTTTCATCTTAATGTACCTATCTGTGTATATTTACCAAAGAATCGTTTTTGTTTTATTGTTAAAATACTTATAAATGTTTTCTTAGAGTAATTATTAATTTTTGTTATAATGTTTAAACCAAAATTTGGTGTTTTCAGTTATATTGTTATTTTTTAATTTATAATAAATATTTACAAAACGAACGGGCATGCATTTTCTTTCTCTATTTTTTATAATATTTACAAAAAAAGTGTTATATTTACTAAGCAGGTATGTACTGTGGAATAATACCAATTTGTTGTTGCTACTAACGCAAGCATTTAATATTAAATATAACTTAGTTACAGTACAAAACAAATTTATATTATATCAACTATTAAATTCTTTAAATGTACCTTTTTTCATGTAATTTCAATTAAAAAATAAATTCCTGCATGATACAATGTTTGTTGCGATAAATAGCAAGTGCAGTTGTTACAACTTAGACGCTGCTAAAATGACAGACTAATGTGATTGCATTAAATATCAATTATTTGTATGAAAAAAAAAAACTAATTTCGATGCACTTAAACTTGTTGGTTGGAGCTACCAATATTGGCTGTTCCGACAACAAACTGTAAAAACAAATTTGTATTGGTTCCCACAACATATTTTTTTGTTGTGCCTATTTTCACTAATAAAATTGGTTCTGGGAACTAAATTTTCATTGCAAATACCAGGTCTTTTCTAAGAGTGTAGAGTTCACACAGGTCCACACTAAATAGTGTTGTTTTATAACACTACAATTAGAGTTAATTTGTAGTGTAATTTTCCCCAAGTAAGCAAGTATGATTTAACACTATAGCACTGAGGATAAAGTAATTTTACACTGTATTAAAAAGTGTTAATTTACCTAAAATCGTGTACTTCTACACTTCCTGGGTAAAATCCCACTTTTGTTCAGTGTAAATTAACACTACTTTGGAAAAGTTCTAATTTTAGAAAAGTACTTTTACTCTTTTGGTGCAAACTTCTAGTGTAAATTAACACTATTATTTGAGTAAAACCTATTGGTGGTAGTGAATAAAACGAAAAGGTAAATTAAGAGAAACATTTATTTGGAACAAAAATCTATGACAATTATCAAAATCAGTGCCTTTTAAAATATAATTTTATATTTGAGTCGTATGGCTAGCTTAAGCAAAATGGATCCTTAAAATGTAAAAGTTTTAGATAAATGCAATGTTTTACTGGCTGTCAACTTGTAAGCAATGAATTATCTTGAGAATTCATCAGTAATCCATTTTTCTATTATAAAAAATGGGTGATATCATTGGTAGAGAGGCGTCAGGCGGCTGTATGTCGGGGATTTACCACACGTGTACAAATTTTCCATAATATTAATAAAAATGTAGGTATAGGTTAATATAACAACCATTTCGCTTGAAAATAAAAAGTAAATCAAGTGTGTATGTATTTATATTATTAATGTTACAAGTACCCGACCTACTGCCGTAAATTATTGATATATAATATAGGTCAGGTATGAACATCCTTTTAACATATTGGTATTTATTGAGTATTAAGGCTTGAAGAAAAAGGAAGTATAATACTTACCAAAAAATAAGAATGTCCTCTTAGGATTCACCGTAATTAAAATCTAAGTACTAAATCTAACTACTAACACTTCCACAAAGCGGTATCTCCGGATATGCACTGCGTAGGTAGATAGGTACCAAACAAACACTTTAAAACCCATTTCGGTTATTACCAGTTTTTTCAGTCTATTTTGCCACTATTGGTGTAATTTAACTTTAATTGTGATACAATGTGCACTAGTAGTGTAAAGAAAAAAGTAACATCAAAACAGACAAAAAAATTGGCATGCACTGTAGTGTATATTTTGTCACTATTGAACACATTAATAAACACTCGCATTAAGTTTTTCTACCCTTTTGATTTATTTTAATAATAATTAATGTAAATGTACCAATGAATAATGTTCATATTCTTTAAATGTGCTTAATAAAGTTAATAAGCACTAAATGCTACCTAGTGTATTTTGTAGTGTAACTTTTTACACATACAAATCAACTCTAATATTTTTTCCCCTACACTAAAAAATTTACACGGGCAAATTGTTTTACTGTGTAGGTTCCCGTTATGTCGAAACGGTTATGTACTTCGCAAAATCCTTTAATCCTTTAATTCGATATATCAAGTTTCGTTGATATAACGATCTAAAGGGTCATAATAAAAATAAAATACAAGGCCAACAGAATAAGCTTTGTTTATAAATACTTCCGCATAACCACTTATAGGTTTCGTACCAAGATATTGAAAAGTTCTTACCCAGCCTTTTATCGTTAAATATTGCTGACGACTGCATAATATCTGTCTTTTTTCCGTTTCGTTTCTTTTAAAAAAGGGGTTTCAATTATTGAGAGAATATCATGAATAACATGAACAGGATTCATTTAAAAAAACTATAAAGAAAACGTACCGGTATTTTGAAAACCTAACCTTAATTAAAAATTAATAGGACTTCTTGCTTATTAAAAACTGCTAAATCTACCTTATATGTGGTGTGTTCCCCAGTACACCAAAATAATAAAATAAGTAATTGCACTAATCGAGACAAAAACTATTAAAGATCAGCAAAAGTTTTAAATAATTTAATTTGAATCAAAACACCTACTCTATAGAGCTGGGAAGCACACTAAAATCCCCACCGTTTGAACGATACGGAATCATCTACGGTCATGTGAAACCACCAATCAGAACAACCTAAGCTAATTTTATTTCGCCTCAAAGCAATAGAAAAACGCAAACAGTTCGCGGCGAACTTGGCTGATATATTTCGTATTAAAATAGGAGCTTCCGAGGCTGTAAATAATTCGCCTATATCCTGCCCACTCTCAACGATGTAGTGGGTTTGACCGCGTAAACTTAACGCGCTTTGCGCCTGGATTTTTATTTACGCTTAGTATAATTTATTGTTTTTTTACTTTTTATTGGGTCCAAAAAAAAAATATTGGTAATCGCTGGTTTCGTGCTTACAGCATTTGGATAAGGCCCATTAAAATTTTTAATAGGAAAAAATCTCAATAATGTTACGTTAAATAGTGGCATTAACAAAACCCAGCAAGAATAGAAACAAAACTAGATGTTTTATAAGTACTTTACAACTTTTCAGGGGATTTCAGACCACCTTTACCCATGTCACCCATAACTGCACACAAAGTCTTCCCTCCCCCTTAAACTTGTGACGTACTTTATGAACGACTCCTAAATCGCAGAATAAAATATACATACGTGTGAAGTTATACTTGTATGATCTTTGATTTTCTATCCAAAAAGCAAAAACAAGCATTTAAACCCTTAAACTATTTCAGATGTCCGATAATCCTGATCCTTGCTGGCAACGAGCAAATTTCCAAATCGATTTCGAACGCCGAGTACAGTCAGGAGATAATATATGAAGATATCCACACTTTTATCAGAAACACACATATGCAAATTTCTTTGGTAACGACTTCATCGACCGATATCACTTTCGAGGCAATAAGGAAAGATTTTGAGGGTACGTTTTTTATTTTATTTGATTTGCAAAGTGTGTGCGAGATGACTATAGCTTATATATAATATAAGGTGTGGCAAAACTACCTTAACAATTTAAATTAGAAATAATTCATTTAGAATGTTTTTCTTATTATATATGATAAGAGACCAGATTCTAGGTAAAATTACTATCGTAAGTAATATCATAAGGGCATTTAATTTTTCCGAAAAGAATCGAAAAAACACGTTGCTAAGTAATATTTTAATAAAAAGCATGAGTGCTGGTGGCAACAAAAATCCGAGTTGAAGAGGAGGATTTTTGCACCTGCACGAATGCATTTTGTTAAAAAATATTACTTAGCATTGTGTTTTTTCGATTTTTTTCACAGGAAAAGTTAGATGCCCGAATGGTATTTGACAAGACTATTTCATGAGTAACAGTTAACAATTAAAATATAAATTGCAATTTTTGGTGACAACAGCTGTCAAGTTTTGCCGCGGGTAAACTCGAATAAATTGCTGACAGGTGCTGTCACACAGTTTTTTCACCTAGAAACCATTTGTAATTCAAAATTGCGCGTTTGTGATTGGTGGAAATTAAGACGAGGGAAATAGTCGTTACAAAACTATTCGTTATTTTCCTCTATAGATTCCATTATACACTGTATAAACATGTCCAAGGATTAAAGTTTTTAAATTATATCTAAAAGGAGACTTGATTTTAGGCAAAATCTTGTCGTCGATTTTTCACAGTAAGAAACAAGTATATTTATCTAAATTTAACTACAATTTAACCTTTTTGGACTTATGTATAAATTACATTGTATATATTGCCAAAAACAATAACCTTATTTAGTATTTTAATCTTCATAATAAAAAATGTGTTTTTAACTTTTTAGGTTAACTTATGTAACCTTAAAAATGTATGCCAGTTCTAGAAAAAGTTTTTCCGTACTAAAAATATTTTAATTACTTTCGTGTTTATCAAAATTTGCTTTACTAAAAAATATAACAGCCACTTTTACTAAAAATATTTTAATTACTTTCGTGTTTATCAAAATTTGCTTTACTAAAAAATATAACAGCCACTTTTACTGTAAAATGATACCAAATTTACTCTCTTAAAATGAATTAGTCAAAAATAACTAATTATAAGTCATACCTATTTGACTAATTGTCCTAGCGAAAAAGCAGTCACTAATAATTAGTCAAATTCCTCTGAATGAAATAGTCAAATTAGTAAATTTAAATTTAAAAAAAGTTTTGCCAGGTCTGTCACTTGACAAGTTTGTCAAGCTAACCTCATAACGCATTCGGCTGTCAGCCGCTCTTATAAAAATTAATTTTATTTGTCAATAAATATTGTTCATAATATTTTAAAGTTTAATATATCCCAGGTAGCACACTGACGTCTGCTGACGTTTATATGACGTTGAAATGACGTTGATAACGTCATTTAAACGTCAGAAGACGTCATATAAACGTCAGTGTGCTACCTGGGATTAATTGTGTTGCTGTTTTGAGCTAAACTTTTTGCATCTTTATTTGTTTTATGGGTCATTTAACAATGGAGAGGTATATGCATTCAATTCAAATAATATCTACTTTGTTGTTGGCCGTAAACGATTAAAGAAATTAGTTACTTTTAACTGTCAGAAATAGTCAAATATGGTGACTAATCTTAAATTAGTCAAACTTTAACTATTTACGTAGTAAAAAATAACTATTTAAAAGTGAAAACGACTATTTTATTAGTAAAAAATGCTGGTACTAATTCAAATAGTAGAATTTTGACTAATTCATTTTTAGAGAGTAATGCACTCTATAAAAAATAGTTCAATAATTAAAAAAAATTAAAAAAACGCTTAGATAAATCAAATGTTTTCACTCGCAAAAAAATATTTTTGATATATTTTTATAATATTATAGTTCAATGATTGAGAAAGTTGGCCATTTCGCAAGAGTTAAACGCTAAGTTTACTTTTTCTAATTTTATAAAAGAATTTAGTATATTTAGTAAATTAATTTAAAAAAAAATTATGAACCACCGTATAATCGTCATAGTAATAAAATACTACCGTGGAAAAAAATAAAATCGTCGTTTCATTGGACAGTAACCATTTTTTTTCCACAGTTTAAGACAAAGCCACTTTCTCAGTTGAAAACGTATAGGAAATGTACAAATTCTTTAATATGATTAGTAAAAGTATTTTATTATAAGCAGAATCCCTAAGTATTATAAAGGGTGTTTCTACTCAAAAAGAAAATCTAAAAAAGGTTGTAGATCTCATCAAGACTAACACTTCTTTTAAACAAATATTTTTTATTTAAGATTTTATTTTCTAATTATCAGCCTTAAGAGGTTTATGCAAAAACAAAAGAAGGCCTTCTTTTGTTTTTGCATAAACCTCTTTATATTGGTTATTCTTGGCCGGATTTAAAAATCTTTAGCACAAAAATTGTAGATATAAAACTGAAAATTACAAAAAACTCTTGGCCAGAAGGAAAGAAGGTATATAATACAAATACAAAAAGCATAAATGAAAAATGTTTATATGCTAGGACTCCTATCATAGATGTGTTGGTCTCGATGAGATCTACAATATATATATACAAATACAAAAAGCATAAATGAAAAATGTTTATATGCTAGGACTCCTATCATAGATGTGTTGGTCTCGATGAGATCTACAATATATATAACATTGCCCATTTGGCGTAGAAACAACCTGTACACTGAAAAAAATAAGCTGTTGAAACAACAAAAAAAATATTAATTCAACTCTTTATGCACTTTAAATACAAGCAATGGTTTTTGCACGTTTACTTAACCATCTAAAAATGTCAAATTGTATTGTTTAATTGAACAACAAATAACAGTCAAATGAACAAAATAAGAATATTTGTTCTAATCTGCTAATTTGGTTAATTTAACATTCTTAGGGTGTTAAGGTAAATTTCTTGAAATGTCCAGGTAACCTTTTTAGCATATTCACTTAACACCAATAAAATGTTAAATTAACATTCTGAAAATGTAAAATTCTTTAAAGGTTGGTATCCAAAACAAAATTATGGAAATAATATATTATTATATATAAATAGAAAGAATTGAACCTTCACCTCGCCCAGAGTTTTTGTTTTGAGCGTGTTCCACCCATGATACATCTTTGTATCATGTGTTCCACCTACTTCAAATACCGACAGACTGTTTCGCCCTGTATTGAGGGTCTTAACAGTGTCGGGCAATATGGTGTAGTGAAAGTTCTACTGTGGAACACACCTTAAACAAACAGATATCTCATCTTATATACACCTAATCGTAAGCTAACTAAGGCGAGATGTAAGAAAACGTCATTGTCTAATGACGTGGCGTGAGTGTTCGAAGCGCCATTCTCGGCAATTTTATGAATGCAAATTTTACATTTTAAATTTTAAAGTAACATTTTAAATTTGTTAAATGAACAAATTTAAAGTTTTGGATTAAGGATCAACTAAACGTTAATTTAATAGTTTTTTTAGGTAATCCTAAAAATTTCAGTAGTTGATTCAACAAATTCCAGCTATTAAATCAAAGTACGATAAACATTTTAATTCAAAATATTAGTTTATGTTAAATTAATATTTAAACTGTCAAATGAACAAATAAACTTTGACAAACTCTGACTTTTGCTTTAACATCAAAATATAGATTAATCCAATAGGTTTTTTGTTGAAACAACATTTTTAAAAATGACATTTAGGCAAATGTTAACTCAACTACATTATTTTTTTCGGTGTATAATAATGAAAATAAATTAACTTGTTAAGTTTTAGCAGTGCTTTTTTAAAGATTAATTTATTCTGAAATTCATTGTTTTTAAATTAAGTATACATTGTTCTACCAAACTCAATTTTTCCATTTTACAAATAATACATTAAATTTATATTTAAATTAAAAAAGAAGTCGAGATCGAGTGTGATAACTATGCACTATAAAAAAGAATTACTTCGACCAATTTAGATTAACTTCATTAATAGTATATTATGTATCAAACATTTGTCTTAAATGAAATCAAATTAATTCTATTTAAGTAAAGATTTTCAGGAAAAATAAACCTCTAAATCTAAGAAATGTTATGTTTATTTTAACAGATTTTACTGAAAACCTGTTTCGATTTTTTTATAGTTCATTAAAACCAGAAAAGATATTAACACTGCGAAGATTGCATTAATATCCCTTACACAATATCCAATTTTACCCCAGCTTAACTGATAAAATATCATTATAAATGTGGCACCTGCCTCCAATTCAAATAAATACCATCGATATAGAAATCTTTACTTGAATAAGAGAACGCCTATTATCTGAGGATTTAAATTCTAAAATATGTTAACACTTATTTTTTAGATCTCGAAAACCTTCTGGGAAAACCTTATCAACAAGCTCTGGCCGCAGAAACAGGAATAGACATAGCCTTAGAAGCCTTGCAAGAACTTAAAATATGTAAGTATCAAATTCCCTCTTTTGTTCTTTAAATTTCCCTAAATAAACTCCAAAACCCTGTAAGCTTCTTGGCATTTGCTTGCATCGTTATTCTTCCTATTTTATTATTATTTCCAGCTACTGCTCAAGTAACAAATCTGGTGTCGGACATATTAAACGACTGCACATTGGCAGGAAAAGAGAGCGTCTTACTACAGGAACAATTACGAGAAATATCCAGGGAACTGACTACTGCCAGACAGCAGTGCAACTTGAAGGATCGCGCTCTCTGCTATACTCTACAATATTCTGGATACGATGTGGTTTTCTCTTGCGAAAATGTAAGACAATTTGTTTTTTAATTTGTTTAATAAAATACTTTTTAAATTATTTAAAGATAAAAATTAATACAAATATTAAAAAAGTGTAAGTAAAATGTTTGTAGTTGTTATAATTTATTATGTTTCAAGTTTGATAAACGCCATTGTAGTCACGAATTTTAATTGGGCACGCAGCTTGCTAGCAAGTTTTTAATTAAATAAGTGTCTAGACATACTATACAACTACTAAGACAAACGCTGAACAAAATGTTGAAAAAATGCCCCCTGAGCCAAGTAGAAATTTTATTTTATTAAAATACTAGTTTTTTCGAATCAAAAAGTTCGCATGGGTGTGCATGCAGCACAGGCCATAGAAGTCCGCCTACCACGCTGAAACAGGCATAGGCGTATGCAGGGCCGGCCCGAGGTACGGGCGAACCGGGCAACGGCCCAGAGCGGCATAATGGGGGGCGGCATTTTTACGATGTGTTCAATTTCATTCAACGAACTAAAAAATTTTCGATTTTTTCAAGAATTACGCTCGAGAAATGCAGTTTAGATTATTTTATATCTTTGTTACAAAGATTTAATAGAGGCGCTCTGGGAAGACGATCCTTGCGCCATCATCATTCGTTTCTTCAATCACATCCTGTAGTTTTCTATACTTGTGTTTGACAATATCACGATCGTGCGTTGTAAAATAAGTGTATTGCTAAAGTAGTTTGATAATTAGAAGTATAAAATGTCTGAAAAACGCAAAAAAGATTCAGGAACTTTTTTTAAAAACAAAAGAAGGCCGCGTGTGGTGGAAAATCGAGTACTAGCAGCAACCTTTTCCAAATTCTTGCAAAAATAACCATCGTGGGCAGGTATAATATTTATACTTACTATAATTGAACAATATTGCATATATGAAAATGAAGTTTAATTTTTGTTGTGTACATCTAAACATCGGTTTTAGAGGTCTAAAATCAATGATCTGCCGTACATCACAGCAGCATTCTGTTTTGCCAAAGTCCGCTAAACTCATTACGTAATTATTGAGTTAATTTACTTTTAAAGATGATTCAGCTGAAGTAAGTAAGCTACTTAAAATGTTCGGGTGCACTCGGTCTGTATACTTTTACATTAAAAATACGATATTTTAACAGCAATTATGTAATAATCTGAGCTATCGCGGAATATTGCAAAAGTAATATTTAACAAACCAAAGAATTCTTGTAATTTAAAAATATTGTTTAATTATACAGTATAATTTTTACTCACTACAATAGTGACACTATTTATAGTACCTATATAATAATATATATGATATACCTAATCATTTACAAGTGATGCAATTATGTATATATATTTAATAATAATAATAATAATAATGTTTATTGTGAAAAGAAAGAAGGTACATTTCACAATTTGCAAGAGTTCGACAAAGCGTATCTTCCACTCTCCCAGGTAACATTTTAAGTATATGAATAACTAAATTATTTTCATAGCAATATAATACATAAACAAAATCTTATAACAACATAAAAAATAAAAAAATATTAAAAATTAACAACAATTTCAAATTCATTATTCTTAAATTTCTAACTGCAAACTTCGTACATGGTTTTTTAAAGCCTGTTTAAAATTTAACTCAGGTAAACTTAAAAAATCAAGTATCTCATTCAAATTAGTAGGTGCAGTCACTGCACTGCAGTGGAATTGTATAGTTATTTCTTCGAATATTAATATCATGAATCGATGACCGTAACTTCAGCAAGTTGAAAAGATAATCTGCCACTTGTTAGCTTCATCTTAAAGGATAAATTTAGTTCTATTTTCACCTGCTGTTTTCTATCACAAAGGTAGTTAAAAAACCATTTCAAGGAAGTAGTGCTAAGCCCAATATGTTTTAGCTTTGATATAAGCAGCTTGTAGTTGACCAGATCGAATGCTTTACTTTGATCCAACAAAGCCAAAATTGAGAAAGACTCCCTGTATCTATACCCTTACATAAATCATTTACAACTTTAACTAAAGCTGTGTTCGTGCTGTGGTATTTTCGATAACCTTATTAAATATTGGGCAAAAACTTATACATTTCCAAGTAGTCTTTTAGTTGATTGCATACTATTTTTTCTAAAATTGGTCTTAAATCCTTACACTCACTTGGATTATTATTTTTAGGTATAGGTACGATTAGGGCAGTCTTACAATGTGTGTTATAGAATCTATACAATGAGGTAAAATAATGTTTAGCATTTTAATATTAATTTAATCAATTCCAAATGCAGAAGATTTTATACTTTTAATGGATTTTAAAATATCATCATTGTTTATACATTTAAAATTAAAACTAGTACTACTGTTTAATAAATTGTTATAAAAACCAAGTGTCTGGTTATTTACATTAGAATTTCCTGCTATAGTAATATAATAATCATTTAAAATGTCAGGTTTTTGCAATTCAGGTGGAATATTAACTTATTTTTTATCAAGATGCCGTTTTTACGTAAAAGCTTTCAAACATTGCCAATATTATTTTGATTTCTTTTAATATCATATTTAAAATATGCCTTTTGTTCTCTACGGATGTCTAGATTAGTATAAATTCTCAATTGTATATAATATTGTTTATGTGTATTACTTCTAGTTTTTAAAAATCTTTTATGTGCTTTATTTTTTGTTCGAATCATTTCTTTAATATTATAGGTAATGTAAGGAAGGCTATCGCGTTTAAATGTTTTTGTTTTAAAAGGTGCATGTTTGTCAAAAACTGAAATTAAATAATTATTTAAAATTTCTACCTTTTCATGAATGTCATTGGTTTCAATAATAGTGCTCCAATTAATTCTAACTGCATCAAGGGCGAAATTATTCATATCAATATTCTTAAGATCCCGAAAAGTAAAAGTATTTAGAGTATTATTATTGTTGTCAATGGCTAAATTAGCAAAAACAAGCCTATGGTCAGTTATGTTACATAAATCTAAAGTTCCACAATCATTCACCTTTAGGTCATTATCAACACATATAACATTAATTAAAGTTTCACTATTTGATGTTATACGAGTTGGCGATGATAACACTTGTTTTAAATTATAGTTCGATAAAAAATTGTTAAAATTAATAGTGTCTTGTGCATTTTTATTTAAAAGAATAGCATTAATATCCCCTGTAAAACTATACATATATCTACTTGCACAAATATACTCTCCAATACATACATAACAGTATATTACCTTACCTAGTAAATCTAATAAAGCATAAAAAACTCTTATAAAAAATTTAAAAAATTCAAAACAGAATAACGTTAAACTACTTTTTTTCCTATTCCTGCTAAATAAAAAGGGGACGGCAAAAATATCTTCGCCCGTGGCGGCAAAAAACGCCGGGCCGGCCCTGGGCATATGCCATATGGATCGCTGGCTTGTGCGACAAATAATTTGAAATAAATACTCAGCGGTATATTGGTTTATATAATGATTTTTTAAATACAAATTGGGATTTTATAGATGATTGTTTAGACTAAGTTTTTATGATATGAAATTTTAAATGCTTTTCTGCCGAAGACACCTGTTGGTAAATCTAAATATCCATTTTGGTATTCACATATCCTAATCAATATTGTTAAAAGAAAATATCATTTTTATAGGTTATTTAAAAGATACGGCTTTGAATACTACAACCTGACATACAAGACTTAGAAGTACAGAAAAACTTAAAATTAAACAAGAATATAATGAATATCTTAATACTACTGAACAAAACTAAAATCTGATCCCAAGCAATTTTGGTCTAATGATGTTGAAAAGTATTAGCCCAATAGCCCAATTTTGCGAAGGTCTTTGAAATATGTATTTACAACAGTATTTATCCATTGGTAAAATCGTCAATATCCTTAAGCCAACATGGTTTCATGGCCAATAGATCGACACTTACAAACTTGTCATTATTTACCCATTTTGTTGCCAATGCTTTTAATAAAAAAAGTCAGGTAGATACTATATATATATACAAAGATTTTTCGAAGGCCTTCGACAAGATTGATCACAGCATTTTAATACTCATACTAAAAAAATTGGATTAGTATCTATGTTTTGGTCTTACTTATACCAGCGTCAACTTTATATTTCTTATAATGGCTTCGTATCTAACTTCTTTCCAGCAACTTATAATTTTTGCAAATTAGCTCAATTCAGGATTGCGTAGGTACGTTTGCAAGAAACTTTAAATCATATTAAACATGCAATTTCAATAAACTTTATCTTAACATCGCAAAATGTAAAATATGTAGATCACTGTAAAATTTAGTCCCATTGAGTTTAATTATTCCTTAAACAACAATAGTCAATCGCGTTCTGACCACCAGACGACTTAGTTTTTGGGCTCCTTCAATCTCCTCAATATTTTTTGTATGTATAAATTTTAAATCCAAACAAAACAATAACTGTTGCTTTAGCGACTAGTGGCTTTTGTTCTTTTAGGGATTATTTATTTATTTATTGCTTATTTGTATTCAACAGGCCCAGGTTCCAATAACAGATACATTAGGAGGTATTTACCAATATTGGTTGCAAAATATAGTTATACAAAATAATTTTATTCTTAGCAGTTAATAACAAACATAATAATTAACCTTTGAATTAATAACACTGCACATATGAATAGCACGGTGTGCAAGTAGAAAATTTAGTATTTCATGCTTTTGCTGAATTATTCGTGTTTAATTGCACCACAGGTTAATGAAAGAATATAGTGTACTAACAGTTATACTCCTTTATTTAGTTATATATATAATTTTTGTAATACTTTAATATATATACTTTGCATGTACTTATTAAAATGTAATTTTGCTATTACGTTTTATATTTTAATCACTTTCGTCGGGTTTAATTATACCTGCTGAGTGGTCTAGTGTTAACGATTTCCATGTTTAGTTTGGTTTGGCTTTATTAAGATTTATGAGGGCGGGTTGGCGTTTATTTATGGTTTTGTTAAGTGTTTTTTTTTGGAATGATCTTAATGCTTTTTTGTCT